TAGCTTTTAAATCATGATTGGATATTAATTTTGAAGGGGATTAAATTTGCCGTGAGGAAGTAACCAGTTCACTGATAAATTGTTGTTATGTGCTCCTTTTCTGTAATTACAAATCACAGGTATTAAAAATAAGCAAATAACATAAGTGACATAATAGGATGTTGTACCACATTTCTCTTTTGACCTTGCAAGAAAGCATCATATTATTTATCACAGTCCTGCTGTTTCCCATTTTTTACTTCCTTTTTCGTATGGGTAGTCCTTTGGCAAGTATCATGGAAAAAAAGATATTGTGAAGGCTGTAGTTTTGAGTTTGTCAAACTTTTATTGGATATACCAGAAACAGTGTAAAGCATACATTATGGCAACTTTTAATTTCCTCAGGTATGAAAATTTTGAGCTTTAAAATAATCATAGTCTTTGTTTTTTATTTATCCAGTGATGATTTACTGACAGGTAAAAATAATCTGGTTTTCTGTCATTCTGTATTTTAGTCAGATGACCAACTTTTATTCACAGCTATGTACAGTTTTACATGCTGAAAAAGTATACCATGTTTATCATGTACAGAAAAGTGGTTAAAACCCTGAATTTGCAAACTTGTAAACAAAAATTTGGACACATTTTATAAGCTGTCTAAGATATTGGAAATGTTGCAAAATAATATATTGCCCAATTCCTTCATTGAATTAAAAGATAAAATGGTGCAATGTACATTCTGTAGTTATCCCTTTTTCCTCCCATATGTGGTTTTAGCAGCTTGTTTTGATCAGTTTGATATGATGCTTTCATAAGCATTTTACTAGCCCTGTTTAAAGAGTTTTTCCGTGCAGTGCCTGTGGCACACCATGGTAAAAAATCTGGTTTCTTTTGTTTTTCATTGTATTATTTGTACGAACAAATGGGAAAGCCAGCCAATAGATTGCATAAAATCTTGATCGATTATTTCTTCTTCTAAGCCAACCAATGGGATTGTTCAAAAACTTTGTAGATATTTAATCGACTAGCTTCCTCTGAAGAATGTTTCAGGATGTTCCTTGCCAAATTTGTCACTTGTGATGTTTAGGATGGCTTTTTAACCAGCGAAATCCTTCGGGACACTGGCAAGTCATGGGAGGCGACCTGGGAAACTAACATGTCGGTTCAGGGTTCAATATAGACTGTTACTTGCTTCCTTCCTCTAGTTCCACAATGTGAATTTATTACTAACAGCAAACGTGCAATAGCTATGCAAAGTGCCGTGGTTTATGGCCGATTGTTAGCTTCTCATGCGCGACAATTAGTGGCGCCTTTGCTGAAACGACAGACTAACTCTACGGATCTTCGGCTCATCACGGCATATTGTGGTTTTTCAAAGGATTTCAAGCCGGCGAAGAACAAATTCGTTTTCGGAGAAGATGCATGTTTTCTAGCCAAAACTAAAACTTCCGATGTCTTAGGTAAGTTACTTATTGAGAACGGTTTAGTGTTCTTCTTGAATGGCTGTTACGTATGGATATTTTAGTTTGTGCCGGGCTCGAATTGTAAACTCGTTTTCCTGTTGTAAACAAATATTGCAGCACATGCATGAACGGTGGAAAATGAAGATTTGTTGTTTTAAGTCAACCTTTTTCAGCGTTCTTTCAGACTCTTACGATAGTATTGGATGTTCCAGCGAACGGGGATATGTTATATTTGATAACATTTATATTTAAAAGGTTTACCCATGTGGTTATTGTGACTTGTTTTCAATAGAAGACGAATTACATTTCGTATGTTCACGCAGTGTATTTTGATCTCCCGTTGATGTTCCCAGATTTAAACTATTTAAATTATTTTACAGCCATAATAGAGTTCAGAAAGTGTGCTTCTACAATATCTTTAGAAGGAACTACCGAGATTCATTTTTAGGATGAAACCAAATTACGGCGCTAACTGCAGACATGTATCACAGGGTTTTTTGCTTTTATGGAATTCGTTTTATTTTTTCCAGGGTTTTTTTTGAACGATGTTTTAATTTGAAAAACTGTTTTCATGAAAATGCAATATTTGTATTTTATATTCCTCTTTCAGAAAGGCAATAAGAATTACTATTAAACTGAAGTGCTTATTGCATATTGCTTTTAATTTACAAGATCTCCTTGCTTTATCGTTTTAAGTTTAACCACAGTTGGTTAATTGGAGCTCTTACATTTTACAAAGAATTCCATAATTGCCATTTTCTTTTTAACTTTCCCTTGTGCATTCTCTTTTTTCATGACCCTGTCTGTATCTGGTGATTCTCACTGATGAAGATACATGTGATATTGTTCCTCTAAATTTTGTGAATTTATATTATACTTTCATTTAATTAATTAGCCCTGTCTTTTATTGACTTGGTGGGCTGATTGGTTACCCTTGTACAGACCCTGTTAAATTGTTTTACTAACTGCCTTAGACATTTCCATCTTCATTTACAGTACAACTGTACTCTTTCTAGTGTAGAAGCTGTCAGCCCATACACCCTTTTCCTAGTTGTCTATTTTTCTGTCAGATAGCTCGTTTCTCTATTTCAAGGCCAGAAGTAACAGTTGGTAATTGGACAATGGCTGCAAAATTTTTCGTGCGTGTAATGAAATCCCCACCACATTTGGACATTATGGCTAGCTTTTAAATCATGATTGGATATTAATTTTGAAGGGGATTAAATTTGCCGTGAGGAAGTAACCAGTTCACTGATAAATTGTTGTTATGTGCTCCTTTTCTGTAATTACAAATCACAGGTATTAAAAATAGGCAAATAACATAAGTGACATAATAGGATGTTGTACCACATTTCTCTTTTGACCTTGCAAGAAAGCATCATATTATTTATCACAGCCCTGCTGTTTCCCATTTTTTACTTCCTTTTTCGTATGGGTAGTCCTTTGGCAAGTATCATGGAAAAAAAGATATTGTGAAGGCTGTAGTTTTAAGTTTGTCAAACTTTTATTGGATATACCAGAAACAGTGTAAAGCATACATTATGGCAACTTTTAATTTCCTCAGGTATGAAAATTTTGAGCTTTAAAATAATCATAGTCTTTGTTTTTTATTTATCCAGTGATGATTTACTGACAGGTAAAAATAATCTGGTTTTCTGTCATTCTGTATTTTAGTCAGATGACCAACTTTTATTCACAGCTATGTACAGTTTTACATGCTGAAAAAGTATACCATGTTTATCATGTACAGAAAAGTGGTTAAAACCCTGAATTTGCAAACTTGTAAACAAAAATTTGGACACATTTTATAAGCTGTCTAAGATATTGGAAATGTTGCAAAATAATATATTGCCCAATTCCTTCACTGAATTAAAAGATAAAATGGTGCAATGTACATTCTGTAGTTATCCCTTTTTCCTCCCATATGTAGTTTTAGCAGCTTGTTTTGATCAGTTTGATATGATGCTTTCATAAGCATTTTACTAGCCCTGTTTAAAGAGTTTTTCCGTGCAGTGCCTGTGGCACACCATGGTAAAAAATCTGGTTTCTTTTGTTTTTCATTGTATTATTTGTACAAACAAATGGGAAAGCCAGCCAATAGATTGCATAAAATCTTGATCGATTATTTCTTCTTCTAAGCCAACCAATGGGATTGTTCAAAAACTTTATAGATATTTAATCGACTTGCTTCCTCTGAAGAATGTTTCAGGATGTTCCTTGCCAAATTTGTCACTTGTGATGTTTAGGATGGCTTTTTAACCAGCGAAATCCTTCGGGACACTGGCAAGTCATGGGAGGCGACCCAGGCCAACTTATTTCTCTTTATTTTGTTTTTTTTTCCCTCCATGATTCTTTTGGTTTAGTCTGGCTTTTTCTTAAGGTTTTAGTAGCATCTGGTTGGGGGGACGTGATTTTGGATAGATTTTTCAAGTCGGAGTTCACCAGTTTTTACAGAGCAGAGCTAGAGTTCAGTTTTTTCTTTTGTTATCGAAAACACCTTGACGATGGGGGGTCAAATCGTGTAAATTTCAATTTGTACCCTTGACAATTGGCAGTGAAATCACAAAAATTTTGTCCACGTCGATCGACGACTTGCTTTCGACATGGATTGGACTTTCTGGATGGGACACACATCCAGACGTTAGTGAACTTATTATACCTTGAAATCATGGATAACCATTGGAACTATGTTAACTTTGAGACCTTGGAAACACACTGCAATTAATTTTTAACCAGATCTAGAGCGTCTTAGAATATTATACTTTCATCTTGGATCAAAACATTGGAACTTTATTGAACTTTCTAACCTTGGATAGAGCAAGTGGATGTTTTGTTTTGTTTATTTTCCATTAACCTTAAACTGCAATGTTTATTTCTCTTTGAAAAAGTTCCCTGTGGCAACTTTCTACCAAGATATGATGTATCGTTATACATATAGTTCCTGTTTAGGTTAATAAAAGCATTACGTTCTCCATTTCTTGTGTCCATGAACATTCCAATTTTCAAAGTCACACGGGTAAACCTTGTTTTGATGCAAAACAACTTCATTTTCCTATCCAAATTGTGCTACGAAAATAACTAAATGGTGTTAGATCAAAACAAAATCAACTCCATCCATGCGACCACTGACAACTATAAATTCAGTCATAAGCACATTAAAAAACCATACAGGTAACCTACTCAGCGTGCAACGAAAGTAGTGTCTGATAGCTCAGGGGTAGTGGATTTTCCTATCGGGTAAGTGAATTCTGTTTTTAACTATTCGAGTAACAGAAAAACTGTGAAATCAATATTCTGCTCATCAAAAAGCATTAGGGCTAGTTGAAATGACGTCTGGGCTAGTTAATGCTAGCTTCAGCTTGCCCAAATGGCAAGCTGTAAAAATGGTTTTCTTTGCACCCTGCTACTCATTGATACTCATAACATGACACATATTTCCAATTTCCCTAATTTTTCCAAATTCAGATAGAACGCCACTATGCTTCCATAGACCAATGCATCCCACGGGAACGACGTTAGGCATCTTGTTAAAATTTATATATCTCTCTGTTTATTTGGTTTTGAGTCACTTTTTATTACTAAAAATTCTTTATTTTCCTATATCTATCATAAAGGACTTTTTTTTGCCCGTGGAGGGAAAGTTTAATAATTTTCCTTTTTGAAGAAGAAGTGAATAGCAAAAAATAGTAAATGTTGTCAAGCATAAACTGTTTCAACTAATTTTGCCTATGTAGCTCTGATTGGTAGATAATTCAACGAACTATTTCAGTTGCATTACCCTCATTTTATACTGAAAACCGGATAAGCATTTCTAGGAAGATTAAATCATTGTGAAGTTGATTATTTCAATGTTGCATCCACCTACTGTTCAAATTATCACAAAGTCGACAGTTGAAGAATTGAGAATTCAAATCATGTCACCTTTCAGAAATCGAGTTTTAAGAATTATTGGATTATTGAGACATGAAACATTAAAGGGGAAAGATATGGTAAAGGTTAAGATTCAGAATTTGTGCGAGAACTTTTCCATCTCTCATTCTGTCCCATGGTTTTTGTCAGGGTACTCCATTTTTCTTCCCTTCTCAAAAGCAACCAGCCTTTCCAAATTCCAATCCAGTCTGGAATGTTAGACAAAGAATAAAGATGAGGATGTGCTACCACCACATCATTATTTATTTATTTATTTATTGTATTAATCAGGTGTTGCAGATGGAGTTGGAGGTTGGCGACACTATGGCATTGATTCCTCACTTTTCTCTAGTGCATTAATGGAAAGTTGTAAAAGATTTGTGTTGGAGGGCGGTCTTGAGACACCATCTCCGGTCAGTATAATTAAAGCAGGATTCAAAGAGCTTGCTGAACATAAGGAGCCTTTGTTTGGTAGGTGATTTAATAACTTTGTCACTTATTGTATAAACTGACTACAGTACGATGTACTACAGGGTTCACACAGTCTTGAAAAGTCCTTTAAAGTCCTTGATTATTCCATTTTTCCTTGAAATGTCCTTAAATTTCTATGCAAGTCCTTGAATTTTTTTCAACTTTGAATGTAGTGGCCTGGAAAGTGTTTTTTTATGCTTTTTGGTTGTCCATAGCTCAGAGAATTTAAAAGTTATTTACACAAAGTGCTCAATGTTTTTTGCAATAATTACAGTCAAAACAGGTCAAGCGTACTCCCCAAGATTCTATTAATGAATTGATTATTTGAAAATGAATCTGTTAGTCGTTCCCGTAACTAGTGTCAAATTCAAATCAGAATTACTGCCTGCGTAATGAGCAGTGAATAATTTACGAGAACTTGTCTGTATTTGGTCAGATTGAAAATCTTTGAATGAATCAAAATTCTTAGAAGACATTTACATCAAATTCAGGGAAACTGAGTGGTTAGAAATTTTGTAACTGAGTCGCGTGTGAATTCACGGCTCATTATGCATGCAAGAATGTAGAGATGAATCTGAAATCTACAACTGCCAACGGACTCAACTTTCGAATGATAAATCCATTAATGGAATTCTGGGGGGTACGCTTGACCTGGCTTGACTGTAATATTTTGGTTTCCGGTTCTAATAATATGTAATATTGTAAGGAACTGATGATAATATTTTGGTGATATAGGTAGCAGCACAGCTTGTATTATGGTACTTGACAAAAAAAGCCAGACGCTTCACTCTGCTAACCTGGGTGATTCCGGATTTTTGGTGATTCGTCAAGGTTCAGTGGTACATCACTCATCTGAACAGCAGCATTATTTCAACACTCCNTCGAATGATAAATCCATTAATGGAATTCTGGGGGGTACGCTTGACCTGGCTTGACTGTAATATTTTGGTTTCCGGTTCTAATAATATGTAATATTGTAAGGAACTGATGATAATATTTTGGTGATATAGGTAGCAGCACAGCTTGTATTATGGTACTTGACAAAAAAAGCCAGACGCTTCACTCTGCTAACCTGGGTGATTCCGGATTTTTGGTGATTCGTCAAGGTTCAGTGGTACATCACTCATCTGAACAGCAGCATTATTTCAACACTCCGTATCAGTTAGCACTTCCACCTCCAGGACAGGCTGGTAGCGTTATACAGGACAGGTGACTGCGTACCTTGCTCAATAACCGGTTTCCTCATTTCATTTTAATTATACTGTAGGGAGGTTAATAAGCAACAACAACGATGACTACAATAACAGCGTCAAAAAACGATAATTGGTTTTATGAGCAAAACAACAGCTCTGCATGTGCACTATGCTTTTTAGTTCATTTCTTACATGTTCACTGCATGAGTATGATGTGAAACCTTCTGATGCAACGTTTTATGGAGAACATGAACATTTGACAACAATTTTTCCTTTTTCTTTTTGAACCTGGATAAAGTCCTTAAGAATTCAACTCCAGGAAAAATCCCTTGCGTTTGAAAGATTAAGCAGATCCAAATAGATGCATTAAGGTTTGAAACGACATTATTTATATTTTTAGCGACATTTTCACTGCTGCCATCATGGCCATTGGTAAAGATTCCTATTGTCTCTTTTAGTTGGTACAGCAGTGCAGTAACACTTACCAATAAAATTACTATTTATTATTATTTTTGTACAAGGTTAGTGTAAAAGCTTACCATTGTCATGAACAAACCTGAAGATTTAGAGTGGAAATCCTGTGCCGTTATTTGGATATCCGTGATAAAATTAAAATGTGCTATTTATTCCTGAAGTTCTTTTCTGACAACATGGTCATAAATGCACAGAGCAAACAACAACAACTTCATTTCTGCTGGAGACAGGCAACTAAGAGAATTCACAAGAATTAATTTTAATTAGTACTAACAATTGCAGTACGTGCAGTAGTTGGACACCCAATATTTAACAATTATTCCTCTCGCCATGAGGGCGAGAGGAATAATTATTGTTTTAGTAAAATCCAACTAGTTGGTAAAAAATATCGAGACAAAATAACTTTAGCTAGCAAAACGCGATTCAGCCGCCATTGTTCTGGTTTTCAAAGCTGGTGCTTTTCACTACTAGTGGGCTATAACATATAGCCTAGTAGTAGCTCAACCAATCACAACACAGCATTGATAATAGACCACTAGTTGGATTTTACCAATAAAAAATATCTGTAAAGTTAAACTATAATAGTTGGGTGACCATCGTAATAAATAATATATTTATAATAACTGTAAATTTGCAAAGTCAAGAAAGATCGAGGCTTAACAAATCTACATTGATATTGTATAAAATTTAATGTTAAATATTATAATGAAATAGGTACAAAAGTAAATATACACAACAAAGTGACAGGATGGAATAGATGCATTGTAAAAATAACAGTCATGATTTTTGTTTGTGTGTGTTGTTTTTTTTTTTTCAGTTTGGATGAAGCAGAGAGTACATCATTTAGTGTGGAGCCAGGGGATTTGATTGTGTTAGCTACTGATGGCCTGTTTGATAATGTTTCCACTGAACAAATACTCAAAGAATTATCACAACTTGAGGTAGGAATTTATTATACCTGATTAATTAATTTATTGATTCATCATGCATGTTACAAGTATTATTGATTGATTTGCGGTAAAGTGTGCGAGTTCTTGTTCCTGCAACTGTTTATACATGTGTTTACGCCCTCGAAACACAGCACAGAAAAATGGATATTAATATTCAGTGCTCGAAACTAACTTTTTTCCCTTCGGTTTCATTGTAAACTAACCACACAAAATCCTTTTTCCAAGCTGGTTTGAAGTCTCTATCCTTCTTTGCCTTTTCCACTCCTGTTGGCTGGGAATCACCTGTATTAGCGTTTTCTTCATCTTTCCTTTCTTCATCTTCCCTGCGCCTTTTGAAATAGCATAACAAAGTCCCAGCACGAGAGGCCGCATTTTCCACGATGTTTTTCGGAGTTGCATGATGTTTACACAATTTGCAGTGGAGTGGACTGAGAACCAAATGTGGCCCATTCCCTCACTGTTTACAAAATGGCGATTGTAATGCGGAAGTTATGAGCGTAAACAACGTAATTGAAAGAACAATTTTAAAAATATTACGTGCTGATTTAACAAATGTGAAACCAAGATCCACAGGCTAAAACTTCCACTCGTCCATGAGAACGACTAACTCAAAATTTTACTCGTTTTAGACGAGTAAACGACCGTTAGTTTCAAGCACTGATATTAAATAGTCATTTTCTTTCCTTCCTTTCAGGATCACAGCACAGAGAGCATACAAAATGTCACTGATTCACTAGCACATTTAGCAAGGACTCATTCATTTGATCCTAATTTTTCCTCTCCATTCTCTGAACAAGCCAGATGTGAAGGTTTTAACATTACAGGTGGAAAGCCTGATGACATCACCATCCTTATAGCAGTAGTATCTGATATGGCAGCAGATGATTTAGACACTTGAAAGTGAAAGAATTAGCGAGAAGAGGCTACTGACTCACATCATGGGATTGGTGTCTGTATTATGACAGCACAGAAAGCTATTCCACCTTGATTCCGACTGATAGTCTGTCTCTTTGTACTTCCCACATAAAAACTTCCTTGTCATTCAACATCTCATCAACTTTGCGAGTTTGCAAACGGTTGTTATTTTAAAGAACAAGAATCCATCGACACAATTCCGAGGTCCAAATTTTATTCACCAAGAGAGATAGCTGGACAGTTGTCATGATAATTATTTGAATAATAGTTAATTGTTGTATGAATCTCCACAATCAGTGGGTGTAAAATGAAACTCCAAATTTCTTTTGCTTATTTTGGTGAGAGTTTCTTTGGCTCATTATTTTCTGTACATTGCATATCACTTTTCAATGTTTTAATGGATGGCCAGTACCTCTCACTGCAAATCTTTTGATTTAATTTTGGTTTTATAAAAGGTCTCCAGAGCTCGCTGAAAAGCCTCATTCATCAGCTCTTTAACATACTCTGTGGTTTTCACAACTGATAATTTTTGCAATAATGTTGCCAGACAAAAACTGCAGGCAGTATGCTAACTGGCTAAAAAATAAAAGAGAATTCAGAAGTGTCCTACGGCTCTTTTGGGCCAGGGGCAGGGAGTGATTGATTTTTCCAAATAGCACGGGTAATCAAGCCTATGTACACTGTTGGCTTTCTCATGTTATGTCATCTTATATTATTGTATGATTCAATTCAATTCAATTGCCCATAACCAGTTGGAACATGGGCTTGTTTCATTTTAAAGAGTAACATCCAAACATGTCTCATCCCACCCTCCAACAAAGCACAGCACAGCTTTTTTCATTTTTTTGAGAAGCTTTTCTTTTCTTACATGTAAAGTTACAACAGGAAAGCTTCTTGTTTATCGCATTTTGGTATCATAGTGGGCTTTCAGAAAAAGGTCATTTTTTTTACTAACCATGAATGTATCCAAATTCCTTTTTGTCCCTTAAAGTGAGGACCGGCAACAGTCTAAAAAGGCCATAATGATTGTCCCTTGTTGTCATCAAGACAACTTGAATTAGTTAATTGAAGCAATTTGATATGTTAATGTATAATTTAATGAGATTCCACATTTGGCCTTGCTCCAAATGTTTGTTATAGCCACAAGAATCACTCCAGTGCTAATTGTTGAGTTGTAAAGCTTTTTCTGCTAAATGATACATTAACTTAAAATAACCGTTTTGACTTTATTACCAAAGACTTTAGAGTTTTTGGTTAAAAAGAATCTGCTAGAGAACAATGCTGAATTTTGTATATAATTTATTATACGTTCTCATAAGACCATGTTTTGTATAAAATCATGTGATCCTTAAAAATGGATGATGTTATTTAATTTAATTTCTTTTTTGCCCCTATTTTCTGTCTGTAAATAAGAGTAATAGTTCATCTAGTACTGTAAATTAAAACAACTTGTTTCAAGGGTATTGGCTGCTTCTGTCCATTCCCTGGAGAGAGAAACAAAAAAGGGGGACTGGAAAAGAGTAGCCTTTGCACAGCAGCTCCCTCGCCTCAAACAAAGTTTGATCGGAGGAGGATGCTGTACATAGGCTAGAAGAGAGATACCCTGAGGGATAGGTTGATTTTGATGATTCTTTGTTTATCGAACTCTGACAGTGCGCCTGGAGTTAAATTGGATGTTTTAATAAAAGTTAAAATTTTGTCAGTAATACATTATAGTCCTGTATTAGGGTAAAAAAATCACCATTGAGAGGCAAGTGAATCCAATTCAACCTTGTTCCCAGCGTTCCTGACAGGAAACCACCCTACAAACTACTCTCCTCCCTCCGCAGAGACTTCAAGGAGCTTTACGTTTTGGCCTTGCTTCAGCAAGCCAATGACACTCTAGAAAACAGGCCCTATTTCTTCGCGTGTTTTAGGCGAGCACGAAGCGAGCATGGAGCGTGCGTCTCGCCCTAACGAACTTTTCGTGCTTGTCTGAAACACGCGAAAAAATAGCGCCTGTTTAATTTGCTAATAACACTCAGTCAAACTTCCGAAGAGGAGGGAGCGGTATGACTGGAAGGATAAAGAGAAAGAGTTGCACTTCTCTGTCTCACGCGTCCAAGCAAGGGAAAAACTTTTGTAAAAATATATATATATAAATGAATGGTGAAAACATGTCACACTCCTAAGCTCCTTAGAAAAAGCCCATGATGTTTCTATTTTTTGTACCCCCTATTCACTCAGTGAATCTTATCATTTGTTCGACAGAGTCAAAGTCCTCTCCAAAGCTTAACTCACCCAGGAGCAACAACATTACAGATCTTAATTTCATCTTATCACTAACGCTTTACATCTGCAGTCATAGTTAAGGGGACTTCTCTCTAAGAAAAGGGAGGAAAAACCGTCTGAACACGGGTTACTAAGTCCTTTAATGTAAACCGTAAGCCTAGGGGCTTAGCTCTGAAGTTTAACGTTGATTACAACATTCGGTCTGGACGGCTTTTAAAACATCTTCAGTTTTGTGAAACAACGATAATGAGATGAAAAATTAATTTCCTGCTATGTATGCGTGTTAATACCCTGGGTACCAGAGGTTTTTTCGCGCGTGCGACGGGGAGCTTCGTTTCGTCGGCCGCAGGCCGACATGTGTTCGGCCGAAGGTCGAAGACACGAGCGGCGAAGCCGCGAGAAAAAGGTTTTCGCGCGGGTCACTTTTTGAGACTTGACCGAAACCGCATGAGAATGAGAAGCCTCTTGCACCCAGGGTAGAGTGTTAAGGGTGTTGGGGAAGAACATAACGAAACATCTTATTACAGTTTCGACAATTCTTTAATATTTTCTTGTTACAAAATCTGGCTAAATATTCTTGACAAGAATTTCAAATTCAACCTACATAAGAAATTTCATATAGTTTTGTTGCAGTAAACCACACTGTTAAGAAGCTACATTCTTCTTAAGATATTTGATGCAGTACTATACTGAAATATGAAAATTGAAGAGCAATTTCACAGCACTCCATCTCGAAAGATGCCATATAGTTGCTTAGCAACTATTTACCGACACATGATAAGAAATTCACCGCTTAAGAAACGCGAAAGGAGCGAGCCGAAATGTGTCCCGCAATTGTTTCTGGAATCATTACTGGGGACGCGCCGGTCAGCTATTGGCCCTTTTTTTTTTTACCAACTTTAAAGAACAAACCCAAGAATCACCTTCTTACTTAGCTTGTTCCTTTCCCTCCATCTTCTCCCCCTTTTTTCCTTTTCTTTGTAAGCTTTGTCTTTTGCCTTTATGTTTTCAATCAATATTTGGCGTTTTCTGTTATTTTTGTTAGAGAAAGCCCACGTTGTATAAGCCCCATGGTTTCTTTGGGCTTTCTTGCCATATTCTTACGAATCTCTGTAATTTGTTACAGTGTCATAATAAGGTGGCGATATCAACAAAAAATAAATAGCTAAATAATTTTTTCCTTTCCCCAGCAAAGTCCCAAAAGTGTTTGCGAAAGTTAACTTGGCCCAGTTTTCTCGTTTCTTAAGCGGCGAATAAGCTCGCCACTGAACAAGTACACTGGTTTTCTTTTCGTTTCTAAAGTGGCGAATAAGCTCGCCACTGAACAAGTACACTGGTTTTCTTTTCGTTTCTAAAGTGGCGAACAAGCTCGCCACTGAACAAGTACACTAATTTTCCTTGTAGAAGTACACTAGCTTTGCCTTCAAAACTCTACATGGGCCTCATTTACGTTCCGATACAACTGCCTAGATAAATACTATAAATTATAATCTGTAATTTTCTCCCATTTACACTCCTCGGCAGGATAACGATTTTTCATTTTTGGCTGCCGATGTCCATCTTGTGGACTTGCAAAGAGACTTGTTTTTAATCCAATGATTATTTTAGTATAGATCACGCAATGCACGTCTCATTCATGCTCGTGATTGGCCAGTTTTTCTAAAGTGTGCCAATGTGTGTGGACCTGGTTGGGGGTTTTAAGCATATCATACCAATGCATCAGAGCGGTGCCGCTGGAATTGATATCCATGACAACACCACCTAACAAGGAACAAAAACATCATACAAAAAGGTACGTCAAAAAACGATTTACTGAGCGAGTTGCTAGTTTTTTGTCAAGGTTACCAATATTCTAGGGTAAAGACGCAAGAACAACTAAGTCAATAACATTAGAGCTCTCCATATTTTTTTTCAACTTTTGACTGGCTACCCTGCGAGCAGTAGACTACGAGTACCCCATTTTTCCTCAGGGATAGTAGAGAGCGAAACGCGAACGCGCGTAAAAATCACCCCACGCGAGAAAGGCGAGACGATTTTCACGCGCGCTCTTGTTTCGCTCGCTCTACTATCCCTGAGGACAAATGGGGGACTACTCGTAGTCTATGCGAGCAGGGGTTTCTCTCTTGCATGGCTTTTAGCGTTTACGAAGTCGTTCGCGTGGTTTGTCTGTCGCGTAAAAGCCATGCAAGAGAGGAACCTCTGCTTGCAGGGTATGATCGGGAAAAGTAAGCAAAAGTCCGTCAACACAGCTGAAAAAAACACCTTAATATCAGTAAAGTTGCGAAGTTTAAAAGTGATTTGCTGAAAACTAACGAAGACATAGCCACGCAAAGTCGCGGCATTTTCCATACGTTTGTATAGTAATGGGGGTGGTAGTGGGGGGCAAGTTCGTGCCTCCCACCACCATACAAACTCCTGCAACATTTCACGACTTTTGTGCAAGAACAGCTTCGCTCTCTTTGGACGTATCACCTTTAAACTTGGTCAGTTACCTTATTTTAAGGCCCTCTTTGCAGCAGTGTTGATGAATATTCGCTTACTGCTTTTTATAAAAAGTTGAAAAAATATACTACAACAACCGTGCAAGGTTCTATAAGCCGACTTGTCCCAAGTTGTCCCTTCATTTTACAGAAGCGTGAGAGGACGCGTCGAAGCGCGCGATGATAATCTTGCCTGTTGCATTACCGTGCTATTCTCACTCGTCTCCTGACCCCCGCGCTAGTGTAAATAATAACAATCAACTGGGCACAACTTAAAGTCCCGTTCAAACGGACGCAACATTTTTGGGAGTTGTGTGTCCGTTTACACGTAGCTTAAAGTTTGACCGGCTTCAAACTTCGCTAAACAACTCCCAACAACACGCAACTACATGCAACAGGGTGTGCAAACGGACGCAACATGTAACATCCAACAATGTTGCGTCCGTTTGCACAGGGCTTAAGGGACTTGGAAGAAAGTGGCAAAGTCATCGTACATTTGAGACTCCGGAGTAAGTAATGACATATTCTTACCGATAAAGTCATTGCTTTTTCCAACGTCATGATCCCACACTGTCAACTCTAAACTTTTCTTGGCCAACTCATGGTGTGAGATCTCGTACACAAATTCCTGTTACCAGATACAATGCAGCGAAACAAAGCGAGTTAACACCTCCCCATTGTTAAAGCTTCTAACTATTATTAAGGTCTCACAGAAATGGTTGGGAAAACAATGAAAAAATAAGTTCCAATTCGCCACTTTAGAAAACAGGAGCTACAGGGGACGAATCGTAACGACGATTTTTAGCGCAACACAGGGTTCAAATGTTGGAACAATATTGCTGCCATTTGAAACAATGTAACAACAATGTTGTAACGCTTCGTTGCGCTAAAAATCGTCGTTGCGAATCGTCCTGTGTAACATCACCTTTATAAAAGAAGTGCGATACTGTTCATCATCAAAGTCAAAAGCTTAAGACCAAGTAATCCTGGTACAGCTACAGGTGTAAGTGATTTTAACAGGATCTTGTATGCTTACCTCGTTATATTCAGGATTAAGTGTCTTCTTCTTAACGCTAGTTCTCTTCTTTGATTTCTTGTGTACATCGGGTTTTAAGTAACTGAAAACAAAAAAGAAAGGAGGTACCATAAGTTACGTATGACGTCAACTCTCGTTTTCATAGCAACTGATTGTGACCTAGCCTCCCACCCAGACGTTTTTAGTGGTTCGTCACGCCTTCCTGCCCCACGCAGGAACGCGTGACGAACCACTAAGAACTTCTGCGTGGGAGGTTAACTCTCACCCAGTCGTTATGGGAATTTTTAGTAACTTTATATCAGTCTCATCTGTGACTTCAGAATGGAGGAGTTAAACTTCTAAAGAATCTGCTGTGTTCCATAGGTGGGGGTGGGGGTGAAACAAACAATAAATAATTTGGTGTTGATACAGAACATTTGCAAACGTAAAGAGATTCGAAAGCTAGCGTTTTGGCACTAGCATTTTTTCTATCAAGCAAGCAATTTTTGATTGTCAACATTGCAATATGCCTACACCCAAGAAACAACAAAACTTCTCCTTTGCCTTGATATCTTTCACTGAAGACCTGTCCCATAGTAGCTGAGCTAATAATCATTGAATGAAACATATCAAGGAGACGAGACACGATACTCACCATTTGACGTAAGGATCTGAGTAACCATTTGAGTCCATGGCTGCAAGTCCTGCACACCGAATTATACCAACAACAAGTTGATTTTTCTGTGTCTTGTACTTAAGGGAGAGCTGAAGTCGGCCGAGATTTGGTTCCGGAGATTCCTACAAAGACAAAGAGCCGAAAAACAGCTGTCAATCCAGAAATTCTCCAGATAGAGACGTTCGTTCCGTGGTTGTGGGAACATTTGCTGAACATTAGCGGTGATTATTTCAAAACGCATGAAAATGTCACGTGCCATGTCTCCACAAGAACT